GTGGGTTGTTATTCTTTGGCCATGAGTGTTGTGGCCGCCTTCTCAGGCTTCACAGGGAACAATAAATCCCTCAGAGAAGAGAACAAGTTCTGTGGTATAAAAAAAAAAAAAAAAAAAAGTTAAAAAATTTTAAATTAAAAAAGAAGAGGAAATGATAAACCAAAAACAAAAAAGAAGGAAAAGTAATCTGAATTTGGTTTGACCCACGAATCTGGGTAAATCTGGAAATAGCCATTGTCTCCTGGTCTATCTTGAATTGTTTCTTAAGTATCTTTTTCTAACTTGCAAGACTGGTCAATTTTAAGCCAGACAAACTGAATCTGTCTGAGAAAAAATCCTCCTCTTATACTGGATTTATCCATAGAACAACTGCAATTAATATTTGAGCCCAAGTCACGGACTCTCTGCATTGGCAATATATTGACTGTATGCCAACATCATACTCTTCATTACTGTTAACTCTAATAAAATAAATGATTTGAGCAGAGATTTCCCCAGAAAGACACTTGTAAAAATGCATTTTCTTAATTACTCTTAAAGATGCACAGACCATTAACCCATCCACAAGACTCAGTAAACTCCAAAAAATGGGATAGGTCAAAACCAAATTGCAGCTTTAGTTTTTGCTTTAACCAATTATTAGAAGACACAAGCTTGAACCAACCTTCACTTTGGCAGTGGCTGTTAGCAGTACATAATCTGGTAACTCCATGGCATCACGCTTTTGGTGCTGGGCCTCAGCACCGATCAGAAGGTTGAAGTGAGTAGCCAAATGTCTTCGCAAGAGGGTCTTACTTGGTGGGATGTTCAATAACTGAGCCATTGTTTCTACATTAAAACGAGGTTCTAGAACCTATAAAAAAAATTACAGTTGTCTAAGGCACCATATATCATACATGTCTGCATTGTGCTTCATAATTTGCAAAGCTCCTTCATTTAGTCATCACAAATGATCCCGCAATAGCCCAGTGAAACAGACAGCATGGACTTCAATCTTCAAGCTATATATCTTTATTCTTCCTAAGCTAGTGAGAAGGAGAGCCATTCCTGACATCTGCATTCCAAAGTTAGGGCTTGTAGCTCTCTGAAGTGGAGCCTTCGGCATGCCTTTGGAAGGCAACTCCTTACGTCAATGTGCAGAAATATAATCTGTATGTTGCAGGTATTTCAAAACAGGATCATATGAGAGCCAGGAGTCAGATGTCACACAAGATAAAAGACAATAAACGAGAGACGGTTTTAAATCTGATCTAGCCTTATGTGATACAAATAAAAAAGATGGGAAAAAAATACTCAGAAAGTAAAGACTCACTAGAAATGGTACAGGAGGGTTCAGTTTGATGACGCTAGGATTATGACAAGCAAACTGATAATATCCAACTCATTAGACTAATGGAAACAAAATGATAAGAAGTCAGTTTTTAGATTAAAAGAGAGTTTTACCATGAGTCCACCATGGACACCACTGCCTCTGAGATTGGGGGCATATTCTGCCAAGTCCACGGAGCGCAGCCACTCCATCACACGATGGTTGGTCCACTGCTGAACTTCTGATGGGGTGATGCTGTTCTATGAGAACAAACCACCACCAAGAGCTTCAGTCATTGACTACGGGATTCCAAACACTAAAACTGCACATTCTAAAAAGTCAGCCTTACAGAGCACACTTCCTCGACATTCCACTAAGTGTTTACAGAAAGGGTGAAAAGGTGTTTGCTAATCTGAATTTTGTTTTGAGGCATCCGTGTCACTGTCCCAACCTTTTTTACACTCATAAAGCAGTGCTTTAGGAAAGCAAGTCTTTAGAGCGATATTTAACTCGGTGGCTTAAGGAGGCAGGAAAATAAAGTACACCCAAGGAAAGGAGGAAAGGAAATTAAAAAATCATCTTTGACTTTAGTTACACAGGTGGAACCATCATGGGGGTGGGGGGGATGGGAGGAATATAGGAAAATAAAGCTCAAGAAGGTAATGAGGCTGGATTTGAGGTTCTCAGGAAAGCAGAAGCTCTTCCTGCAGGCCCCACGAAGAAACGGGTGTTTGTTTTGCACACACAGCCAGTCACACGCACGGGGAGCGCATGCTGTGTAAATCTCAACCTCGGGTGCTACCTCGTCAGAGGGCCGCCTCCGCAGACAGTTGGGTTCAAAGTTATTGATCCTCAGGACCTGGATAGCCCTTTTGATACTGAGATGATGTAGCACACTCACGACTTTCAAAGACAGTAAGTCATCCTGTAACAAAAAAAAAAAAAGAAAGGACAAAAAGAGGAGCTCACTGAGCTAACCTTCTCAGGGAAATTTCAGAAGACACAAGTAAAAGTAGAAGAGCCCCTCCACCAACAGGCCTCGAGTGCTTGTGTTTTCAAACCCCTTATTTGGTAACAACCTTTTTCCCGTTCTAAACAAAATCCTCTCCAGGACCTCTCTCTCTCTAAATTAATGTTGTGCCAACAGAAGCCACGTTTTACCTGTTTCTCTCTCTTCCAGACATTTTGCGATAGGATCGTGGGACCCCACAGCTCTGTAGAACACAGTTTGAAAGGCACTTCCTGGGTCACTGCAAAAAGTGATCCCCTTTGACGTGATAAAGCAGAGAGCTAAGACCACGTGATGTTCAGTGACGAGCAGAGCTGGGTTTTCTGAGCTAAGGCACATCACCATTTGGGGGAAAACCAGAAGAGGATCTCTGTTATACTATTCCCCAAGCCTCAAGAAATCTCTAGTCCTGGATTATTATGCTTTATCTAGCAGACACTGAGAACAATTTTTGGAAAATTGTGTCGATCGATGCAAACTGATTGGTGAGAGAGTTAAAGAGAAAGGAGAAATGAAGAAGTTATAAGTAGCAACATGTATCACCATCAATTCCTTCAAGGTATAACTTTCGCCAGTCTGTGGTTATTGGGAACATTTCAATCATACCGAACACACCAAAACAAATTATTTCAGAAGGTGATTTGGAGGGCAGTGTCAAGATAAGCACCAGTCTATTTCCAAACACACCCAGAAAATAAAACAAGAAAAACATCCATTTTAGACACACCTCACTGATAACACATTTCTTGGGGGTGGGGGGGGGTGTTGGTGGTAATCTATTACGGAAATAGTTTTTAAATAAAAATATTAGACGATCAGCTTAAATTCTTAAAGCTACTGAGCAAAATTATTTCCTGAATTTTTTCTGGATCAATTTCTTAAAGGCAGTGCCCTAAGTTAGAAGGCATTTAACACATTTTAATCTAAGATTGAGACACCCATTCAAAACCTTTCCATGTGGGCTATTTTAAACTAATTTAAGTCTATCAGATTAAAAAAATCTAAATACATAATGATTGCAATGTAAACACAAGGCAAATTATTTTAGCTTGAGAGATTTTAAAAGTAGGGGCTGTTTTCTTTTAAATCAAAACAGATATTTTTTAGATTTAAAAAAATCTTTTATTTTTAAGTAATTTTAGATTTACCAAAGAGCCGCCAAAGATAGAAGATAGTCCCATATGCCCTTCAGTCTGTTTCCCCTAATGTTAACAGTTTCTATAACAATAATATAGTCATCAAAACTAAGGAATTAACATAGACAACAAAAAATGATAACTAAGCTACAGACTTTACCCAAATTTTACGAGTTTTTCCACTAGGTCCTTTCTCTGTTCCAGGATCCAGCCCAGGATACCACGTTCAAACAGGTTTTTTGTGACTTATAACTTCTGGGGTCAAACTTCCTAAGACGATTTATTCTTTTATAGCCACAGAAGTTATACGCACTTTTTTTTTTTTAAAAGCCTGAATCTGCTCACGTTCCTGCAGGAGCAAACCTACACCTAGACAGGCGGGCAAGTATTTACTGACTTTGTTTCAGGCTGAGCTAGTAAGAGCAGGAATCTGGAAACATCCTAGGTTCAACCACCCTGTGACTTTCGACTACTTTCTAGCTGTGGAAACTTGGTCAAGTTACCCAGTTTCTCAATTTTTTCATTCCCTCATCTAAATACTGGGGATAACAGCAATGCTACCTCAAGGCTCACTGAGACTTGAGTATTAATAGGAGTATGGAGCTTGAGTGAGTGTCTGGCACAGAGTAAATGTGCAATGTGCCACATGTTGGTGTTATTGCAAGCAGGTTTATGCTATGTGCCCACCAAGGTACGGACTTTGGTTCAACAACAGAGAAGAAAACAAATCCCATGAGAGGAACCCCACATTTCTTTGACAATGGAAAATTAGCTGTTTGAAATTTTCAACTTATTTAAAGAAGATACTTATGGTAGTTGGTTCCAGAGCCTAGCTCACAAAAGGCTGTTTAAATAAAAGCATCTAATGAGTAGTACACTAACAGGACTATGGAATCTAGAACAAGTTCTCCTGGAAACAAACCCTCTCTCCCCACTGTTGTAAAGTCCTTCTACCTCTTGGATGGAAGGATAAAAATATGGAACAATAATGAAGGAATCAGAGAGAGTCTACCTCGCCCTACTTCTTCAGCTCTGTGAATCTTGCCCTAGTGGAATGGGGCTGAAGAGAGAAAGGAAGGTTTCAGGTAACATTCCCAAAAGTGGAAGGGAGGAGAGGAGACAAGTCTCTAGAAGTCAGGTCAAAAGGATGGTCTCTTCTGAGCAGTCGCTGCATATAGGAACGTGTAACTCAAAAACTGCCACGGCTACATTCTATTTTTTAAACATCTTTAGGAGAGGGGCGCCTGGGTGGCTCGGTCGGTTAAGCGTCTGCCTTTGGCTCAGGTCATGATCCCAGGGTCCCAGAATCGAGCCCCGCATCAGGCTCCCTGCTCAGTGGGGAGTCTGCTGCTCTCTCTGACCCTCCCCCTGCTCGTGCTCTCTCTCTCTAATAAATGAATAAAGCCTAAAATAAAATAAAATAAACGTCTTTAGGAGATACAATTCACATACTAGAAAATTTACCCAAAATGTGTGTTTCAGTGTCTACATTGTTGAATATACATAAAACCATCTTCCTGGATAGCTGAGTTTAGATTAGGTTTCACACAGCTTAAATCAGTGTTTTCAATTTCCCACGGTATTGTAATCATCAAATCCTCTGACTTCAACTTAACAGAAAATATTCCTGCTCTTCTCAAGTTAAGGCAACACCCTGAAACTCTGGTGGAATCATTGTGAAAACAATGTATTTTGCTCACTATTTCTGTGTTTTTCAGAGAAAAACAATTTGACACCTCCTCCCCCCAATTCCCAGGAGTAAACCACTTACAACAGTCATGTAATGGAGCATTCGACCATCTACCCGTCCTTCGTCAAACTGGGTCTTGTACTGGGGGAGACCGATATCATCCAACCATCCTACAGGAGAGAAATTGGTGTTGTATTTGTGGTTAAAAAGAAAAAGCAGATTTATTTATTCATTCATTCATTCATGAATATGTGAATTTAAAACCTCTTACTAGTGACCCAGTTGAAATCCAGCTTTCCATGGTTGGTTTCTTCTTCGGACCCCAGGGCTTGCAGTGCCAGCTGGAGTTTCTTTCGATGAAGTGAATGCTTAATTCCAAGTTCCTGAAATAATAAGCAGAAACCCTGGCTTGACCATTCTGTCAATATGGGCTGGATGCCACTGGCAAAAGATGCCAATTCCCCCCAAATGAAGCTGGTGTTAAAGACCCAACAATCACATTAAATCAGCATACCGACTCAGGCTAGTAAAATGCTGCTGCACAAAAAGCCCCTAGCAAGCCAAGACCACCACTGCAACTAGTTTAGTGGTGTGTGCTCTTCCCTAGCAGGCTCCTTCCTTGGTAAGACCGGAATTCTACTTTTTGTACAAAATGTTAAATAATTAGGAAAAGTGTAAATAATTAGACATAAGATGTAGGGCTCTTTCTTTTTCCTTTTTGCAAAGTAAACTTGAATTGCATACATTAACATTGAGAAGTTGGGCCAATGCTAAAGCCACACAATGATTCTGAGAAATACGAGTTTAAGGTTTGTTATTATGTCTATACAATTATTTCTTACTACAATGCCCAGTGGCTTACATGTTTCATAAGGAATCATTAAGACCCGGTCCTTCTTGTTAAGTCCATGAAATTAAAAAAAAAAAAAAAGCGTGAAACAGAAAACACACAGTTTTTCAAGAGTACTTACTGGCTCTACCCACTCCCCTTTCCAGAGTATAAAACAATCCTACATTCATATTCTCTTTCCCACTATCCATTTTCTAAACAAAATAGAGAAGCAGTCACCTTCTCCAGATCTTGTTGAGAAGCCTGCAGAAGGGTTTGGCCAGATGCAATCCAGTGCTTGCCAGAATTCAGGTAGGACCCCAAGCCTTGTTCCACAAGCCAACTGCAAACCTGCTCCTTGGTCCATTTGGCAAATGGCATATCCAAGTCACTGTAAAAAAAATGAACAACTGCATGAAAAACAACTCAAAGCCAACCCTGTGGCTTATCGAGGTTGACCAACTGTATACTGAATGCATACGGGAATCCCATGGTTACGCCCGCTTGACCGTGAAAAGCTTACTTTTCAGTACATATTTGGAGGAGGGGGAAGTTGGAAGTTACCTCAGAGGACCACGGCTTTCATTTCAAATGAAACCACAAAAGATCTGATATGACTGAGCAAGAAACATGTTGTATGGATGAAAAGCAAGTTGAACCAACAAGTCAAGTCACTGTGCTAGTTTCAATCAACGTGGTTTGAAGACTGAATTCCCAAACAGAAAACACTAGGTTAGATGTAAAGAAATCAAGTCTAACTTGAATTAACTGTAGCAGAATTATGGTTTCTCTCCAATGGGTATCAATGAGAAGAGAGCAACATGCCATCATTGAGTATAGGAAAATATAATCATAGCAAATTTCTGGTTTTTTACTTTGACACGTAAATTGTGTCCCTCTTTGGGGGAAAAAAGTGTGTAAACAAGACTTTTTTTTTTTCTTAAGCAGCACAAGGAGCTCCTCTTCTGTGTACAAAGAGAACATATGGCAAATGAGACTCTTCATGTGTTTGGAGAAAGCCAGTTTCTTCCTCGATGAAACCTGTGCCCAGTCTTCTTCGAGGGTGGGAGGGGCCATGTTCCAGAGATTTAGTGTCAATGATTTGTGCTAGATGTTTGCCAACCCCACCCTCTTCATGCTTAGTAGGTCAGTATAGTAATTTCAAACCAGCCCTAAATTGTGATAAGGGTGTAGGAAAAGTTCATAAGAGTCTTAACAGATAAGACATTACAGTCCTGATAAATTTAGGAATTCTGATAGAATTTATGTCTGTAGGTGCTTTCACAGAATCCATCAATCATTAACCTTCATTGAACAGTTACTATTTACCAGATACTTAACGCGTATTAACTCATTTAATCTTCATGATTAACTTTTGGGGGAATGGGCTAATTAATACCATGGGAAACAGAGGCACAGAGCATGGATGTAGCTGCTCAAAGGTCACCCAGGTTATAGGAAGCAGCAAGGCCAGGAATCAGATCCAAGCAGTCTGTCTCTGGAACTTACTCTTAACCACTAGGTTCTTCCATCTCTCTGGAGCTATGCTTTAGAGTACTTACAGTCATGATTTTCTCGGTTAAATTTAAGTCCAAGAATCATCCTAGCACAGATGTTGCTAACATTTTAGCTCTGGCTCCTCCCCGGGCTCACATAGCCCTCATCTTCTGCATGATTTTCACCAACCACTGCCAACATGCACTGCTCTAAAGATGACGGACCCTTCCAAGCCCGGCACAGAAGTAAGCAATGGAGTCTGCTGTTTAGCCCAGGGACAATACTAACAGTGCAGGTGCTCACAGCCTTGACACTTGGGTAGAGATGTCAAAGTCCATTCGTTCAGTTGTTCTCACCTGTTAGATTGTCCCAAATCTCGAGACCAACCCAGTCGTGGTCCTGCAGTTGCCCTTGTCCCTCCTCTTTTGAATTCGGGCTCAGACATGTCATCCGGGTTGAATGTAGTTGACTGACTTCTCCTAAGTCTGAACAGAAGACACAACACCACATTGCCTTGTATGAGACCCGAGGAGGCCTTAGACTTTAAAGTGAATCAGAACACTGCTTATGTATGGTCAGAATAGACATCTGGATTTACACTTCAGCGGAGACCCAATGAGTTAGTGAATCCCAGATCACAATCTTCCTTCCATAAAAGGAACACCAAAGCCTTACAATTTCATACTCGTTTCCAGCCAATCTTCCATTTATTTCTACATTTGAGCAACATACAATACAAAGCCCACTCCATTTGTCTCCACTGTTACTTACTTTCCAAAGAGTTTCATGATACCTCTGGATTTCTTTTTGGAATCCGGCGATGGAGGAGATATCTGGAAGGGACTGCTTCCCTGTGAATCTTTTGGCCGGGAAGATACACCAGCCAGATCTAGGTGCTCAGCTGTCTCCTTCTCCGTTTCAGCTATTCCAAGAACAGAATACATACTTGGTGAGTTTTAAATATGGAATGAACAGGACTAGATGCTAACCTCCTTGGTTTTAGCAATGGTTAACAAATTCTTCTTCTGTTGGTCTGTAAAGCAGTAATTTACAAACAGCACCCTACAGATATTAAAAATGGAACACAAATGTATGTTCTGCTTTACAGTCTGTTGTGTATCAATTAACGTTGTGTAGAATATCCTGTAGAGTACTGTGCCTAAATTCATTAACTCACAAATTACCACCTCTTTGAGATTCAAAGGTGGGATAGGATTGCCACGTTCTTTCCTTGAGTGATTTGAATACATAATGAAATTATTCTCGATCTTCCTGTAGCACTTGGTGCTGCTGACTCCCTCCCACATTCTTCAAAATCATCTCCTTCGTCTGCTTGTTATGACACTCTCTCAGATCTGTCAGCTGATAGTTTCTTCTCTGCTATAGGACCTGTTTTCTCTTCCTCTTCCACTCCGAGATTCTGTAGTAGGTTCCCCCCGTAGGATCTCTGGACAAGCTCACCCACTCCACGCCCGGCACTAAATGACTGCTTCCCTCATACATAAGCAGCTGGTAGCACAATCTCTGGACCTAATCTCTCTCCCCAGACTCAGGATCTGAAGGTCTATGGATATTCCCCATTTGGTGTGCCAGGAACATCTTGGACTCAACAAATCCATCCAATTTTCCAGAGGCTTCTCTTAAATTTTCTTATTTAATATTCCCTTAATACTAATTAATATTCTTCCTGTTACTCCAGTTCATACTCTTTGTCATTTTCTTTTCACTCCCTCCTCTCCTTTGGCATTTACATCAAACCTCAGTTACCAAGTGCTGGCAACTCTTTTTTCAAGAGAGTTATTCCTATTTATAACTTGCTATGTCCTACTGAGAAAAGAATGAACTGGATCTGCATAAATTTTTCTTTTGATATAAAGCCAGTGCCTGTTGATTCTGCCTTGAAAGAGTAACATCCAAATTTGCTAAGCCCAGATCTCCCAGCATTAACTATCTTAATTCTTTTATCTGTCCCTTAATGCATGATCCCACGCTAACAAACACAACAAAGGGTACTGTTTCCTCAATGTGAGACTACACTTTCTAGGGAAAGTAAAAGTTGTACAAAAATCACAGAAATGGTGTTTCAGCAAGATATAAAAGGTTGACTTTTCTACAAAGCACAGCTGTGATTATAGGTTATAATAAGCAGCACTCGGCTCTTAGCATTAACAATGTATTTCTTCTAAGAAAGATGCAAAAACACTTGAAAATAGTTGTCTGGATTTTATTTATCCCATGTGTCCACAAAGGGAGACAAGTCACCTGTGCTGACCCATATGAATAGGTATAGGGTATCTACATAAGATAATAAAATCCACAGGGAAAATCCAAAGGAAGCTTTCCATCCAAACCCTAAAGCCATTATGGGTACGGGTGTCCCAGAAAATGTTGCCTAACTCACCTTCATTTTAAAAGCATCCTAGTTTCATTTTTTGTTTTGAGGATGTTTCTTCCCTCCTGTGCCCCACACTTTTAAAAAAGAAAACTGAGCTTCCCCTCTCCTAAAATCACTTTGGGGGCGACTCCTTGGATATCGCAGAAAGCTTCCTCTGGTGTCACTAAACGTCACCTCCATCTTCAAAGCAATAAATGTCAGAAGAATGTTCCCTTAAGAAAAGTCAGTCTTGGGGCACCTGGGTGGCTCAGGTCATGATCCCAGCGTCCTGGGATCGAGCCCCACATCGGGCTCTTTGCTCAGTGGGAAGCCTGCTTCTCCCTCTCCCACTCCCCCTGCTTGTGTTCCTGTTCTTGCTCTCTCTCTCTCTGTCAAATAAATAAATAAAAGATAAAAAAAAGAAAAAGAAAGGTCAGTCTAAAACAATCATTTGCAATATCTTCTAAAGACTTCCCTATTTGGCTGAAAACATTTCTCTCTGGGGATAACGGAGACATGGAGAAGGAACCGCCAGGACCTGGGAGTTAGCGTGAGACAGGACGGACTGGAAGGGTGAGAAAGCTGGGGTGCACAAATGAGGCAGGAGAGTCCTGCCCTGGACTCCAAGGGTGCTGTGCACTTCTGGGGCCTCCCAGAGCTCCTCGCGAAGTGTCATTAGCAGGGGTTAAAACAGCATTTAGGCTGGGAAGCAAAGGCTCCCCAGAGAGTCCATTTTAGCAGCAGGTGGAAGGAACTCTCTGGAGTAGAGGACAACATTTTCTGATCGCTGCCAGCCCGCTTTCTAGAGATCACGGATGCCAAGAGCAAGGATTAGCTCAGTCTGGAGGACAGCACTGGCGAGGGCTGGCATGCAGGGGTACGATACCTAAGGTGGGTGCACTGGCACTTCGTTTACGATCTTCCGAGATCCCAACAACGCACACAATCACACGCAGCCCAATGGAGAGAACACAGGAGAATGACAAAATGAAACACAGATCAAACTCCTACTCACAAAATACACACAGTGGGAGGACAGGCAAGCACGGTGCTGTGCTTCCAACAATGCAGACTCCATCAGCAGGGTCAATATGGGGCCAATCTGCCCACTTTCAAAACAGGTGAGAAGCTGTTTACAGTGAAGTCAGAGAGGGTCACGGCTTTTGGTCTTTCCTCTAATTCCTGCTCCAACAAGGAGGGCAGGGTAACAGCCTACACAGAGCTACCTTGACCACTGAATTAAACCCATGGGGGTGGTTTCTTTCGAACTCTCCCCCCAACTCGTTCACCTCCATTACTGAGAAAGAGAAACGCACAGGCCGATGATCAAGGGAAGGGAAGAGATCGACCTTGTCCTCACTCTGAGCGAATTAAGGCAAAGGCACGTTGCCCATACGTACCCAAGTTTGGTGCACTCGCAGTCCTCTTGTTATTTTTTATTTTAAAAAAGCCACGCCCAAAGGAAGATCTGGCTTTCCGAGTGCCAAAAGGGTTGTCGTCCATGGAGGCATCATGTCCTGGAGCTTTCGGAGGGAGGCTCCCAAATGGGCTGCTTTCCACTGGAGCTTTATCCTGAGAGAGAAGTAATAATAAATGGAACACAGCACTGCTGTGCATGATTATGAGTACGCGCTGGGAGCAACACCTGCTATGTTACACATGTGATTTTATTTAAAAGAATCACGGAACTAACAAGTTGATTATGAACATCTGGCGCCATATTAGAAGTTTAGAAAGTCGATTCTGAAAGCTACTTAAGAAGCAATGGCAGCAGCAGCAACAAAAACATGCTCTTCACTGATCTATAACCCGCATGCGTGCTTAGGACGTGAAATATTGAGGATATAGAAATTCTCAAGCTTGGGGCACCTGGGTGGCTCAGTCGTTAAGCGTCTGCCTTCGGCTCAGGTCATGATCCCAGGGTCCTGGGATCGAGCCCCCCATCGGGCTCCCTGCTCAGTGAGGAGCCTGCTTCTCCCTCTCTCACTCCCCCTGCATGTGTTCACCCTCTCACTGTCTCTCTCTGTCAAATAAATAAATAAAATCTTAAAAAAAAAAAGAAATTCTCAAGCTTTATTTGAATTTTATTTGCCTCATTCCCCCAAAGACATGGAAATAAGATATTACATAACCAGAATACCAGCAGACTTCTTATTTTTCTAACAATTATGACACAGATTGGGCTATAATACAGTTCACAGTCTTTGTACTGTAACTGCATCAGTAGAAGCCCAACATAATATAATCACTCTGCAAAGCAGGCATTAGCCCCAAGCTTCTACACCAACAGCAGAAAGATTCTACTCCAGTTATTTTAAATATTCTTCTCAAGGAATTAATAGTCAAATGAGGACACAATCAGTGACTGTTAAACTTTTTTTTTTTTTGAAAGGGTGTTCTGAGATATATTCATTATCTTGCCTGCAAGTTACCCAACACGGATCACCAGTTTTCAAAGACTATGATAAATTCAGATACACTTACCATCAAAACTAAACTTGCTATAATTAAATTTTTCTTCATCGATTCAGAAGACACTTTGGCTGTCTATAATATTTCAAGGTCTTTATCGAGAACCTTAACTGTAATTAAGTTATGGTTCTAAGTACTAAGCTGTTTACTTTTCAGCTTTCTCGTTATTTGAGTTTGCAGTTACAGTAACATGATTTATTATATTGTTTTAGTATGATCCAAAGATGCTTTTGCTTGCATGCTCTCATTCCTCTAACATCTCCTACCCTCTGTTTCTTTTTTTGCAGAGGTGGACAAAGGGGAGAGGGGGTACAGGCTTTTAAGGTGGTTATTTTATCCTACATATTTACCGCTCATCGTTAACTACAAGTTTATACATGCCACAGTTTAGTGCTACTATTACCTACGTCTCAATGCAGATGTCAAAATCATTTAATCATTTACTGAACTGGTGAGACAAAAAAGGCCAGAGGATGCCTGTAATTACAGCTGTGTGTACGGCGTGTGCCTCATCAGGGATACCTACATTACGACTGAAGGCATTCAGAGCCAACAGTCAAGGGAGTGCATCTGGAAGTAGCCTGTCTACCAGAACGTAGCCCTCACAAAGGCAATGGTTGAAAATTAGAGGAAAGAAGAACCAGAGCCCTTCTGGATGAGGTCTTAAAAAAACAAAACACCAAAATGGTTGCTGTATACAGACAGTGGTTATATTAAATAAATAACTGTTCTCAGATGGGTGATCTAAGGACTTTTCGTGAGGTCTCAGGAAGCCCAAATATGATCACCAAGAACATCAATGGCCCGACTGAGAGTTTGGGCTTTTTTTTTTTTTTTCCCCCAACAGTTTATTGAAGTGAAACATAAAAAGTAACTATTCTAAATTGAACAATTCAGCGACATTTAGTACATTCACAGTGGTGTGCATCTGCCACCTCCACCTAGTTCCAAAATGTTTCCATCGTTCTAAATAAAACCCCTTACCCAGGAAGCAGTTTCTCTCCATTCCTCCCTCTCCGTCTCTGGCAACCACCAAGCTGTGTTCTGTCTCTACAGATTTATCTACTCTGCATATTTCACATAAATGGAATCATGTACTATCTGATCTTTTGTGTCTGGCTTCTTTCATGTACCATGTTTTGGAGGTTCTGAGTTTGGGTTTTTTGGACACATTTAAACAATCACATGTATCAGATGTCTCAGACATTTTTACATTGTAATCTGGACATAAAAATTACCTCTGAAGGCTTCTGAACAGACTCCTTTTCCTGTTCAAAACAACAATATTTCAGATTGTTACAGGAATGGCTTTATATATTCACACTCTGTCACATGCAATTCCAGAAATTAAAATAAACTTACATCTACTTCTAAACTACACAATCTCAGTTCCATTTATTTCCAATAATGGTTGAAGTCTTCAGTTTTGATTGTATACACTACTTTCAACCCTTCATATTCATGCTTCTTAATATTTGCCATTAGCCATGGTATCTAATAAATTTGCATTAAAGAAACCACAAGCTCTTCTTAAGAGTTTTATTTTTAAGATGGAAAAATGTGAAGGTCCCTAAATATTTTCGTCTCAGGGTAACGGACAGAAAAAAACACAGGACCAACCCCGTCTGATGACTCTTTCTTCAGATTGCCCAGGCTGCTGGACTTTTGCAGACTTGAAGTTCTAAAAATAACAATAATAGTAATTAGGATTAATGATAAGTGGCTCTGGTGCCGCTGTTTCTTAGGAGAATATCTTGGAAAGAAACTAAAACTGTGTGTGGGTTGAATCCTGGTCATAAAAGAAAATCTGGATTCAGGCACTCACTTATGTGCTTAACTAAATTATAATGTTGAGTTCTTTTAAAAACAGAGGTGGTTAACTGGTCCTGCCAAAAACTCTGAATGTCTCGCACATGTTAGAATAGCTGGAAAAACACTTAGGACTCTCCTTGTGATGTCAATATTTGAAAATAAACCAGCGTTTTTCCATGGACTAGTGGTGCGTCCCTTCATGTATACATTTAGACCAGGAACTTTTTTTTTATTTTTAATTTTTATTTCAATTTTATAGTTAATATGCCAGGGAACTTCTAAAATACTCACATACTATTTCCATATAATCCTTGTAATTAAAATAAAGGATGAAAGTGTTATTTTTCAATTCACAAAGGAATCCATTTTCTGAATCTGGCCAAGTACTTCATTTTATAGTTCTGATCAAGGCATACAAGAAAAATCCCTATTGCTGCCCATAATAATTCATTTGCTATCTTTGTAAAGGCAAAGTGACACCGTAAACTTCCGGAGATTCAACTATCTAGGGCTGGTCTTCTCAGAGATTGAAGGCAGGAATAGGTGACCAGTTTAGAAAGAGACAGAAAAAAGTAGTATCTCTGCTCTAAGAGGTAGAATAACATACATATACAAACAAACTTTTAAAAGGCAATTCTCATGTACTTATGTGTACATAAGTTGCTAGACATGTCCAGTACCAAATAAAGTAAACGATAATGGCGAGAAAAGAAAAGATCCCATCTTTGAGTACTGCTCTGAAAATAGATTCTCCTAACTTAATCCAGACTTGAACTTGGGTAAACATAGATACTGGGCCGGCTTACTACACGGAGAGTGCAAAAAACCATCGCAGGCTCTCTAGCCATCACATCATTCTCTGTGACTCTTTTCTGCTAGAGTCAAAATGCAAGCCAGTGCAAACCTGAAATTCAAAGCATTGCACTTCACATGAAAACTGATGAAGGAAGGCTAAAGACGTGCCACACTTGGCACAAGAAAACAGACAATGGTCGATAAGCAAGTATTTCTTTGTTAACTCACAACCCCCCCACCTCCCTCCACATCCAGCCATTACACCTGCATTAATGTATTCAGGCCTCAGTCATGCACTTCTCATAGTGGTTATTGTTAGTGTAACAGAAGCTTCCTCTCTCTCCTGTATCAATGACATTTTTCACATTCAGTAACATAACTTACGAAAGACTATCACAAGGCTCAGTTTCAACAGCAGCACCAAGGATTATTTTTCCATCGCTAAAAGGAAAAAAAAAAAAAAAGGGAATGTGTGTGCTTCACGAGTAAAAGACCATATAAAAGACCTTATATATTCTGAGTAAACAGAACTGTCAAAAACAAAAAATCGTGCTAGGGAAGCTATTTCTCTTCTAAAATATTCTTTTTTTTTTTTTTAAGTAGGCTCCATGCCCAGCCTGGGGCTTAGACGCACAACCCTTAGATCAAGACCTGAGCTAAGATCAAGAGTCAGCTGCTAAACCTACTGAGCCTTGCAGGTGCCCCTCTCTTTTAAATTATTCTATTTTCTTTTATTTGGTCTAATTGTAAGATTAAGTAATTGAGAATGTGTTCCCTCAAAATTCTACTTGTCAGTGGAGAAACTATTGTATCCCTGACCTGAATCCTTCTTCCAAACAGCCTCAGGCAGATGATCGTTGCTATGGGGCTTGAGCCCCGTTGACGCACCACCCCCCCCCCCCGGCCCCGTGACTTAGGACATAAAACCCAAGTGCTCTAAAATCTCTCTCTAACCTGACCATCACACCTCCCCAGTCTCATCTCCTATGACTTCTTGCTTCACACCCTTCATTTCAATAATACAGAACTGACTGCAGTTATTGATTCACACTGGTCCCTTGGCACATGCCTTACTGTTTCTTGCCTCGGGGTAAAACCTATGTCTGTAAATAAATGCAATGCACCCTGGTGTTTGCTTGATCTACTCTGTTGAACATTTATATTGCAATGTTGGGTCATAAATGACATACCTTTCTTCAAATGAAGTCTCTGGTTGAGGAGGCAATTTTGCTTTTTCAGAAGCTTCCAAGCCCTTAGATGCTGGCAGTGATGAAGGGATTGAAACTTCCAAGATGCTGGTGTGGAACTGTAATGTAATTATAGAAAGTCAAAAATCCATCAAACAAGACATAAGTCACAGAGGAAAAAACAAACTGGTGAGACAATGACATGGTCTATTAATAAAATTTCATACACCTGTGTTTAGAACACTATTCTTACATTTATAAAATGGTCTCGGGATATAAACATCAACAAGTGTTCATCAGAGAAAACATTCTGGAGGAAGGTCATTTTTGAACTTGGTTCTGAATAAAACATAATAAATACCATCAAGTAAGTCAATAGCTGATCCTTGACAACTTTAAGCCCTAGTTAAAATCTTGGTTCTAACCTTAGGTAAGCCACTTAACTGGGCACCAGTTTTCTCCTCTGTAAACTGAGAATGGCAATGCCTACCTTGCAGGGTTCTCACGATTTGAGATGAGATTTTGGTAAAGTGCTTTGTAAACACACCTCTGTTTTCACTTTGTTTTCTACCACTAGTCTAACATAGAATGTTGTTCAAACCAGTTCTTTGTGGATACCACTTAAGACACTTTGCTTAATAACAATATTACAGCAGCAATATGCCTAATACATCTTCCCAAGCAAATGCTTTGTGTATCCTAAGGATGGAATCTATGAAAGAAATTTTATACTCTGGTGTTAAATAATTTCCGACGACCGCAGAGCAGTACGGTGTGAGAGCTCACCATAAACTAGTAAGTTAAACACTTAAAAGATATTGTGATAAAAAAATAAACAAAATTGGGTGCCTGGGTGGCTCAGTCGTTAAGCGTCTGCCTTCAGCTCAGGTCATGATCCCAGGGTCGTGGGATCGAGTCCCACATCGGGCTCCCTGCTCGGCAGGAAGCCTACTTCTCCCTCTCCCGCTCCCCCTGCTTGTGTTCCTGCTCTCGCTCTCTCTCTCTCTGTCAAATAAATAAATAAGATCTTTAAAAAAAATTAAAAAATAAACAAAATTCACCTCAGTGAATTCACTTTGCCAGTCAACCAATTAGTGACTGTGTCTCCCTTCTGAAGTCAGACAGGAAGGGAGGGACTCACACCCGTGAACACACTTCTAGACGCCAATCAATCAACGACAGTCTCGCCTTTGTAACCACATATCCACAGCTGATGTCAACTCACTCCAGCCTCTGAGAGTCCATCAATCCCTGAGCTCCAACCATCCCCCACACCCCACATTTGATCAAAGAGACTGTCCTTGACCAACAAAGTTCACCTAGCTAACTAAATAAGCAATACATTTAGCTTTGTGATTTTTTGTTCCAGTTATTTAGTGGTGTCTCATCCCTTGACACTAAGAGGTTATAACATGTGAAGTCTATTAAAATAATCTGACTGGGCCCAAGACGGAGTGTCTTGAGTCAAGCTCCATGTCAGCAAACCCAAACTTAGCTAAGTTTCTGTGCTCAGCACTCCCAGAAAAGGCAGGCCTCGGTCAACCAGTCAGCACTTGCCTGCTCTGCGCAAGTTACCTGACCCCCCTCCAAGACTTCCCTTTGCTGCACATAAGGAAAGTAACCCGACTTTAACCAACCAGCAATGCCTATAGCATGACCCCCTGCTCCTGCCTCCTTCTGCCTAAAAAAAGCCTTTCATTTGCCTGATTCATAAACTGCTGAATAAAGCCAATAAGATGTTTCAAATTTACTCCGTTGAATTTTGTTCTTTAACAAGTCCTATTACTGTAAGATAGGAGATTACTTCACTATCTTTTTTTTTTTTTTAATGTGAATCTTTATGATTAGTTCTGGGCAACTTACTGAGCCATCATCCCTGTGTTTTCAAGTTCACAGTAGCTCCCCGGGTTCCTCATCGTGGGGGAGGAAATGGCTCCACTAACAAACTCATGCGTTTTCTTGATTTCATTCTGAACTTTAGAGCTTTAACTCCAACTCACATAGCAAAGACTTTTTTTTCAAGGTTATGAGACTATCTGGGCCTACCTTACATGTAACAGCTGCTGTTCTGTAAACAGGCAGCAAGCACACGCATTGGCTGTCAGATGTTATTTTTCCCTTCAGTATAAATAAAACAATCAGGGGATTTTTTTTCCCCCTCTAAAATATTTATTCCTTAACTAATCCCTTGCCTCTTTCTTCCAACTTTATTGAGATATCACGAACATGCAGTACTGTATAAATTAAAACAAAAAAACAGAAAACACATTTTTTTTTTCCCTTGCGATGAGAACTTTCCGGATCTTCTCTCTTAGCAACTTTCCACCATACCAGACAGCAGGGTTAACCATAGTCATCATGTTGTACCTTACACCCCCAGCACTCGTCTGTCTAATAACTGGAAGTCTGTACCGTTTCACCACCTTCCTCCAATTTCCCCTACCCACTAATTCCTTACGAATGACATCTTGTAGCCCACTCCTACATTGAAGAGAGAAATGTTACTCGTTTTCTCCTTGAATTCATTTTCATTCAATTCCACCTTCATTTTCTCATTAGGTAATTAGAAGGAACAGATACGAAAAGGAAAGATGCCACTTGGTTTCCTCTCACCACCTACAGTAAAATGTTAAAGAAAAGATGAACAGAAGAGGAACTGGAAAACATAAGGGAGCCGAGGTTGTTTAGTTAAAATACAAAAACCACCTTTCCCATTCCTCCTTTCTCTAGACAGCACACTGCACTAAAAGTAAGAAACAGTTTCAGGGCAAAGAGGGAGGTGTGCCTTGGTTAAGACCTCAGGAAGACTTGAGGTAGTGCTGTCTCATTGAAACCTTCAAAAAGATCAACAACTCTGAAAGTAGAGTGATATTCCATGGCAGCCTTACAGAAAACTTAAGATAGGGAAAGGCTAATTGTGAAGATATCTGCGGGTATGCTTTACCTGATGGAGTGGATTATAAATTGATTCATGAGAAATTCCAAATGAGTAAAATATTACACCATATTAGACCAACAGACACAGAGACAGCAGAAGGTAGAAGGCCCTTGACCTGTATAGACACTTTTTACAGAAAACAACTCATCTGCAATTACAGGTTCCTTCTCCTGGAAATGGAAAGATGACTCACAGGAAGAACCAAGAGCCCAAAGGACTGGGCCCTGTCAAGGAGCTGGCCACATGGGCCTGGTTGGATTTTGGAACTGCTATGGACTGATGACACCGGTGTGTCTTCCATTTTCCCTCTTCTTTTTAATGGGAATGCCTAGCAGTTACTATGCCTATCCCACCACTGTATGTCAGGTGTGTAGGGGACAAACATGTCCTGGTTCTTTAAATGGAATGGAGTGCTACTCAAGAAGTCGTGCCTGAGGAGCTGCACCTACATCTTGGCCTGGTCTGGATGACAAGGTCCTGGGATGCTGATGCCTAACTGGAATGAGACCAAGAGGTCTTTGAAGAGGGGATGAGTATATTTTGCATGGGAGAGGGATGTAGATGATTGTAGCCACAGAGTGGAGGGGCAGATTGTACTCTTCGAATATGGTTGCACGGGTATATGCCATCCCACGTGTTCTTCTTAAATGTGATATTGTTACTCGTCATCAAGAGGTAGGGTCTATGTTTCCTCTCTGTGAATGTGTGTGGATTTGTGACTACAGGAGAAGAGATGCGCCATGACTTCTGAGTCGTATCAAAAAGGTGATATAAATTTGCCTAGTCCTCTTCTTGGGATGTTCATCCTTAGGATCTAAACACTATGCTAGGAGAAAGCCAAGCAGTCATGTGTATTTCCAGCCAGGGCCTCAGCTGAGGTCCTGGCCAACAGTAGCCCCAACCATGCGATATACAAATGGGTAGCCTTCAGGTGACTCAAGCCCCCAACCTTTGCGCCATCCTGACCGATGCCCAGTGGAGCGAAGAAGAAATGTTCTTGCTGAGCCTTGCCCAAATCACAGATTTGTTAGCAAAATAAACGTTGTCATTCAAGCCACAAATTTTTGGGGTGGTTGTCAATAGATAATGGAAACAGGTTTTGGCACCAGTATGATGTGAAAGAAAAGTAAACAATTTGAAGACTAAATATTCCTGTCCAGTTGCTTTTTTCCCCAAGTCTGAAGAAGTCAGGGAAATTTTACTCCAGCATTTTTCAAAGGCACCATCAGAAGTGACTAAAACCAACCTCTTTATATAATCTCACTTTATCTCCCTTCTTGTATTCTCTATTTATTCTTTAATAATAAAGATTATTATTATGTAGATTGTAATCTATTTAGGATGAAATCTTTCTCCCATGTTTTTCCTGAATAATTTAAGCAATTTTGACATTGCCCAAGGTATTTATTTATTAAAGAGAGGGGGGGAAAAAACACACCTTTCACAAAAAGTCCTATGAGACTCTGAGTCTTGACACAAAAATTGCCAAGACTCAGTCAGTAGTCGCACTGAGAAAAGATCCCATGTCTTTCATGCTGTCAACAGCATTTTAACCTTCAATGACACAGTCTCTTCACTATGAAAAGAGTCTGTAAATACCTCTTCTGGAACACTTGTGTTAAATGGGTCACGACTGGGAGATCCCATGACTGGTGTAGGTGATAGACTTTTCTCCAGGTCACTAAAACCCTGCACATCCAGCAAAGTAGAGATGGAACCGGAAGTGAGCAGATCTTCAAAGTCGCCATCTTGGCCTGGGTAAAGACAAAGCAAAAGGAGGACAACGGCAGCTTTTCATTTACATTTCACTTTTAGAGGAAGAATACCAACTGAATATAAAAATTTTTCTCATCCTCAAAAATCAAAGAGTCAGCTTCTCCTGAAATCCCTAGAAAAATAACAACAGGGCCCCTAGGAAACAACATGTTAAATTATGAGGCCTGAGGCCTGGGGGTGGTATTAATAGATACCATCACAGACTCACAGCATTGAAATTAGAAGTTAATTTAGTCCAACAACCCTCCCTAATTTTGTTTCAGAATTTGGAGCTTTACAAATTTCAGTTCAGAAATAACCAAGCTGGAGAATACCAGTGGTACAATAAACTAATTCTGAACAGCAACACCGTCACCATGAAACAACTCAATATTCACCACTACTGTGTTCTTAAAAAAAATAACAGAAAGAAAAGAAGAAAAGAAAAAAAAAAAAAGGCAATCTTTTGATTCCTTAAGATGATCTTTCAGTGCCATTTATTTTAAAGCAGAAAGAATAGCCTTAGGGACAAATGTAACCACATATCCAGCAATGCGGCCAACTTTGAGAATTTCTTTTACATCTCCAGCAATGAAAAGGATTAGGTGCTGAAAAACTGTGCCAGATATTCTTTTTTAAAACCAAAAAATGATGCTTAAAACACTATTCTCTGAATAACACAAAATGGCAAATCATATACTCATTTAAAGTTATTAACTAGACTTAGCTTAATTTAGATTTTATTATTTATTCTAATTTCATTAAAATGTAGGTATTATTAGCATTCTCTAAGGACTAAGTAAATATAAATCCTAGTGAGAAATCACTGTTTATAAACTCTTCATTAGAACAGGACATAATTTTCAACAGTGGTTAAAAACTACCTCTTTTTGCTACACATTTTATATGCATTAAAAAAGATGAAAAAATACATGAGGGGTGCCTGGGTATCTCAGTTGGTTAACTGTCTGATTCTTTTTACCTTTTTTTTTTTAAGTTTTATTTATTTATTTATTTGAGAGATAGAGCGTGCGCGCACAGGCCAGGGGCAGAGGGAGAGAATCTTCAAGTAGACTCCTAGCTGAGTGCGGAGCCAAGGCAAGGCTTGATCTCACGACACATAAGACCGTGACCTGAGGGGCACCTGGGTGGTTCAGTCAGTTAAGTGGCTGCCTTCAGCTCAGGTCATGATCCCACAGTCCTGGGATTGAGCCCCGCATCGGGCTCCCTGCTCAGTGGAGAGCCTGCTTCTCCCTCTCCCTCTGCCTGCCGATCTTGCCTATCTGTGCTCTCTATCTCTCTGTCAAATAAATAAACAAAATTTAAAAAAAAAAAAAGATCATGACCTGAGCTCAAAACCAAGAGTCAGACGCTTAACCAACTGAGCCACCCAGGTGCCCCAAGTGTCCAACTCTTGACCTCAGCTCAGGTCTTGATCTCAGGGTCGTGAGTTCAAGCCCCATGTTGGGCTCCACACTGGGCATGGAGTCTACTTTAAAACAAAAACAGAATAAACAAAAACCCCCCATGAAACTGACAAAAGTGATCACGCCAGTGCAATTATGAACAATATTTACCACTTTTCTCTATTTTCTACATGTTTTATAATCACAGAAATTAATGTTTTCCCTTGATTTTTAAATATAAGAATTACAATGTTGAGATTCTATAAAATCAAACACTGTTTTAAATGCTATGACTATGTAAAAATTAATTACTTGTGAATTTATAATGTTGTCTAAAAAGAGACACTCTCTTGAAGGCATAGAAAATGCTGAGTGATGGGAATTGCTGTCAGAACACTGGTAGAGGTTCATTTGCTTGCTCATTTGGGTATTTACAAAATCTTAACATACGCTAAACCCTGTGGACAATAAGATTAAGATCCATTTTTTTTCCCTCAGAAATCCTCATCCAAAATAGGATTTTCCTTCTTTTTGAACTCATCAAAATTGAAATTCCAAAATCTGAGTATTTCACAAGTACCTTGAAAAGATTTATTACTTTCAGAGCAAATAACCCCACCTATGCACTGCTAATGAACAAGAAAACTTCAAAATTCTCAACACTTTTGTTTTAAATGACCCCCAGGGATTTTCCACATTTGAGGATGGCCAACTGGACCATGCATAGATAAAATAATAATACATCAAAAGGCATGACTATTTTTTTAAGTTTTTAATTCTAATTAAAATACAGTGTAATATTTGTTTCAGGCATACATTACAGTAATTCAACACTTCCAAACATCACCCTGTGCTCATCCCAACAAGTGCACTCCTCAATCCCCATCAAAGCATGATTATTTTTACTTAGATGTCTTATGGTTTTGCCTTTTTTTTTTTTTTAACTTAACACATTCAAAGCTGAACACAATCCCCCCTTAACCATTTCAATGCTCCCTCACTAGGCTTCTCTATCTTGGTAAGTGGAATCATCATCCACCTGGTTTGCTTTAGTCAAAAATGTCAATCTTGGGCGCCTGGGTGGCTCAGGTGGTTAAGCGGCTGCCTTCAGCTCAGGGCATGATCCCAGGGTTCTGGGATCGAGTCCCACATCGGGCTCCCTGCTCAGCAGGGAGTCTGCTTCTCCCTCTCCCTCTGCCTGCCTCTCTGCCTACTTGTGCTCTATCTCTGTCAAATAAATAAATAAAATCTTTAAAAAAAAAAAAGTCAATCTTTCTTGATTCATTCCTCTTCTTCACTTTCATCTAATTCATCACACCACTGTGTTAATTCAAACACCAAAATATATTTCCAGTCAGTACCATCATATCATTCCACTTGGAATCCTGCAAGAGTCTCTTGATTGGCTTCTCTTCCTTCCAGTACTGCTCCCTTCTCCCATTATGGTCCATTTGTTATGTAGATGCCGCGGACTTGTGAAAACCCTTCAGTGGATCCCTCTGGGCTGACAGAGCTGAATGCCTCACATTGCCTGACCTGGCCAACACTAACTTCTAACAGCTCTGCTCATCTCATCTCATTCTCTCCCTGCTCACTACTTTCCGGTCAGTCACAATGGTCTTTTGACTTCTTAAACACACCAAGCACTTTTTCCCCAAATGCTCTTTTTTTTTTTTTTTAAGATTTTATTTATTTATTTTTGAGAGAGAGAGAGAGAGAGAAAGCATGAACAGAAGGGAAGGGTAGAAGGAGAAGCAGACTCTCTGCTGGTCAGGGAGCCCAATGAGGGAACCTGGGATCACGACCTAAGCTGAAGGCTTAACCAGCTGAGCCACCCAGGCGCCCCTCCCCATAGTCTCTTGAACACACTGTTCTTTCTGTCTGGAATGCTATCTCATGAACTCCACACAGAGGTTCTCCCTGACCAACCAATCTACAGTATTCTCATCGGCCTACACACCGAGAAAGTGTGTAGAGAACAGATGCCTAATGATATTGTTGAATGAATGAACGAATGAACTGTCTAATTTGGAATAATGGATAATCCAGGAAAATGAAACCAAATGTTAAAGTTCACAGCCGCTTAAAATCCAGTAAAGTAGAAAAACCTATAGAGCTACACTACCTTTTTTACCTTGGGGCAGTACCACCGTATCTTGCATTTTCTTGTACCTATTCAGGCACTGTCGAAGATCTTCTATTTTCCGATCCTATTAATAAAATAAATTGTCACCTTTAAATTATGACTTTAAACAGTAAAAGTAACTGCAACACAAAGAATAGGGAGACATGAATTATTTACATTATTCAAGGAATACTTCTAAACTTTAGTAGAACTGGTAATATCTAGAATAGTTTTCCTACGTACATCAGAGATAGAGAAAAAGTACCTCTAAATTTAGAGATCCTATCCTTCAGCTGCCATCTTTAAAAAACAAAAACAAAACAAGGTAATAAGATACAAAACAAAACAAAACAAAAAACCAAGAAAAAAATCAACTTTAATTATTCTCCTCTCCAACTTATGGGGCAGGTCTTGAAAGAAAGATTTATACCTATTGTCTTTATCAGCTGTCATCAATCACAATCTGGTTTTTCTCTCCTCAAAACACTCAGCTGAAGCTTCGTCAATTAGTCATCACAGACTTTCTATTTATTAAAAATAAAGAGAACTTTTCATCCTTTTTCTAATTTGACCTCTGGTATTTGATTGACCCCACTCTTTCCTTCTTTTCGTTTTTCTTTCCACTCTTTCTTTTCTTCTATTTTGATTTCTTAATTCCTTGACCAGATAGATAGTCTACTTCCAATATCCCCACTATCTACCCAGCCCAGACTATAAAATGTTAGTGCTTTAAGATTTTGTCCTTTACCCTCACTCTGGTGGATTCTAAAAATGGGTTCCCTAGCTCTCCCCTCACTGGTTTTGGGCCTGGACATGTGACTTGCTTTAGCCAAAGAGGTATCAACAAATGTGGTGCAAGTAAAGGCTTGAAAGGTCTTTGCACATTAGGGCTTGCCCTCTCTCTCTGCTCTAGGAAACCTTGTGAGCACTATGTGAAGAAGCACAGACTAGTCTACTAGAAGATGAGAGATCATTTGGAGAAGAGACACCCCAGATGGGACCAACCTACGCAAGTCTGTTAATCTAGACATGTGAGTCACACCATCCTAGACCACCCAGCCCCATCCCACCCACCAGCTAACTGTAGAGTTCAGCAAAGCCAGCCCAGACCAGAAGAACCACCTAGCCAACCATCAGAAGTATGAGAAATAATAAATGTGATTTGTCATGGAGCAAAAGCTAATTTATGTATCAACTACAGTTTAGTCCCCGAAAATCTACAATTCTGTATTTCTCCTAAAATTGATGGGGTTCATTCCCTACCCAATCTATAATTATACATTAATCCCAAAATTTAGATTCACTTTTCAACTTTCTATGAGAAATCTCCTTTTAAATGTCCCATGAGCACATCGAAGTGAATGTCTCTAAAATTAAGCTCATTATTTGCCCCTGTTACTTGAGCCTCTGCTTAGATTCCCTTAACTCTTTGAGGGCACTATCATTCACCTTGTTACTCAAACTAGAAACTTATTCTCAAATCCAAAAAAATTTTTTTTTAAAGATTTTATTTATTTGAGACAGAGAGAGAGTGAGAGTGAGAGAGAACGAGCAGGGGAAAGGGGCAGAGGGAGAGGGAGAGGAGAAGCAGGCTCCCCGCTGAGCAGGGAGCTTGATGCGGGGCTCGATCCCAGGACTCTGGGATCATGACCTGAGCCGAAGGCAGATGCTTAACCAACTGAGCCACCCAGGAGCCCTCAAATCCAAAATTTTTAAAAAAAATCTTGTCAACCTGTGTAAATATCAGCTTCATATACCCCTCCACCTTATCTCATTCTGAACTTTCCCAGCATGCACTGGGCTGTTCTGAGCCTAGGTTTTTGAGACATGGTTTGGCTCGTAGATACTTTCCTTAGAAGCTTTCATTTTCCTGATGAACAACTCTTGCTTTTCCTCAGATTTTGCTCAAATATGGCCTCTTCGAAGCCTTCTGCAACTACTAAAAACTTATGTCACCCTTGGTGCTCCTAAAGCCGTTTGAACGTCTAGTAAGCCCTCAGTCAACATTGGGAGATTTGTTTGTTACTGATGCTTTTTGAGAGAGAGAAATTAAAACTAAATGAATTTCAGTGATTATTTTTAAAAAGTAAAAGCTATGGGGGCACCTAGGGGGCTCAGTCAGTTATGCATCTGCCTTCGGCTCAGGTCATGATCCCAGAGTCCTGGGATCAAGCCCCGCATCAGGCTCCCTGCTCTCGGTCTCTCTCTCAAATAAATAAATAAAATCTTAAAAAAAAAAAAAGTAAAAGCTACGTGGGCCCCTTGCTAATTAATAACTTTCCTTTTTTTATTCCACAGTGGGAAAGACTAGCAAAAAGAAACCTATATATGGGTAGGCGGATGGGACAATGAGTTTATTTCCTAATAAAGAGCAAATAAAGAGAATGAAAGGCAAAAATATATAGACAAGTAAAACAGAGAAGACAAGAATTAGAGAAAGAAACAGGATGAGAGAAAAAGATCAAGACAAAGTTCTTTGGCATTTGCTTTTTTTTTTTTTTACTTCCTTGAAATGACTCTTTTCTTGGGAAAATGCCTTCTTGTTCTATTCATTAAGTAACATGAGGTAGGAATAGTTCTGATGACAGGAGCTGAACATGACTGTTGATGCCAGCTGGATATATGGCTGATCAGGTAGGCCGTGAAGAAACACCTTGCTTTAGAGGTCACTGTTTCCCTGCTCTAAGCAGAATGAAGCAACTGGAGTGAAGAACCTGGAGACCTTGGCGTTTGGCCAACATAGCTAAAACAGAGCCTAGGGCCATATGTGATTTCCCAGTGCCCATACCTCTGTTCTCCTAGCTCACCTCTCAGGAGAACAGAGACAATGCCTGATGTGAAAGAATCCAGGAGTGTGAAGGAAATAATAGGAATAACATCAACCCCATCATGAAGCTGAGGTCGTCAAGGGCAACCCCTTTCAGAGTTCATGTTGGCCCAGAATGCATGCCCTATGGATGGTATCCTTTCTCTCATTTCCCACCTGAATATAAAGAAATGATCTGAGGGCTTGTACATTCTTCCAGATTCATGGGGAGGAGGGGGAGGCAGTTCTCAGTGGAGCCAATGCTGCTGGTCCCCATTCTACACACAGTCACAATGACAACTGCTACCACCGAGAGCGGGCACACGAGGGCAGAAAGGGAGAATGCTTGTCCCTCCACCTCAGTAGGGTGTAGGGTATGTTCTTCCAAACTGACATATCTCCAAAAAACGCAGGGAATGATCAAAATGGTGGTACACATCCACATAAATACTTTAATTTCATCTAGATACCTTTTCTTCATTTGCTGCCATCAAAGACTCCACAGCCTTTTTCATTTTTTGCACTTCAATATCTGAAAATATCACAACATCACATCAGAAGTCAGTTTCGTTAATGTGTGTGACAATAACAAGAGGCTGAGTCTGCAGACTGAAATGTTTTAAGGAAACGTTTACCATCCATATCCTCTTTTGGGGAAAATCTGAAAAATGAACACTTTCCATATCACCTGAATGGTCATCACTCCAGAAAGTAAACAGTAAGGGAGAGAGCTAACTACCCTCTCTTGAAGCAACAACAAAATCTTCATGAGAACACTGAAAGTGAAATTTCAGTGCTATAACCACGAAAACACGGACTTTTAAAAAAAAAAAAAACCTAGAGAGCAGTGGGGGAAAGCAATGAAGAGTGTACATGATGACATAAGCAGAGAAAATGATACTCAGTTTTAACCAAGATGGAGACATGAATGGCAAGAGCCTGATGGAATGTGGCATTTATAGGAGTAGTCATGCTAAGAAGCTGGTTGTAGGTTCCATACAGAAGGATAATAAGTACTTTGCTTCATCTATAAACATCATCTCCAACACTATTTTAAAATGTAAAGCCAAAGTAAGGTAAAATGTGATTTTTGCTTAAAATTTGACAAATACAAAAGCACATTACTTTAATAATAAAAGAACCAATATTTTAAGATGTAACATCCAACCTAAAATGAAATCACAAATTTAAAAAACTCAAACAAGCTAAGGTTACCTGCTTCTGAGGGAAAAAACAAAAAACAAAAAACTACTACTTAAGATAATTTTTAAAATAGTGGTGCATTGTTCACCACTGATATAACATTTTCAATTAAGGTATATTCCGTAGAAACTGTCTTTTTTTTTTGGTGCCAAATTCTCTTGACTTAAGAATTCAATATCTGGAGGGAAGAACCTATTAATTAAGGACTTATCTTTATGATATTATATAATCTGGGTTCTGTTAATCAGCCTGGGTACAATCTCTTTTGTAACACTGAGAGGGTGTGTCTAATTCCTAACAGATAGATATCAGCGAAAAAGTGGGCTACAAGACATTGAAAAGTAACTTTCTCTTCTGACCCTCTGTCTCCTGAACTACAAAGAAAATGCTTCTCACTTCCACTACTCTGAGTGCTCTGTTGTATCCTGTGGAGCCAAAGGGCTGAATCAGAAAATTAGCAAAATGACCTTCTACTCTTTGTTTTTATTGTTTGGTACACTCTATTTTGTACAGTCTGAAGAAATGGAGAGCTTATCGATGAAGCAACTTCACATCTTTGGTGAGAGAAATGTTTTAAAACACATGCAAAGAACAGTCCAAGTAGTACTTTTGGTGAATGTAAAGGCTGATGGAAATACACCAAAAACCTTACTTTTGTCTTTGAGCTTCTTTTTAAAATTTTCATCTGTGCAGGAAAACCCATCGAATTGGAAGTTAGTATATACTTACAACAATAAATATTTTAAAAGCAATATTATTTAGTCTTTAACCTAAAATAAAGAAACTCTAACCCTATAAAAACTGAATATTAAACACTATTTTGTGACTTTAGGAATAGTACTACAATACACTATGCTCTGTGTAAGGTTAGAAAGAGAATATCATTCATCCAAAGACCTAAATTTGAGCTCCTACCTCTGTCACTTCATCTTTGTGAACCTTGATTTTCCTGTATATTAAAATTAGATCTATGGAGTACAAGCACTCCTTATGCTCTACGTGGTGAAAATACCTTTAGTGATGATTTGGTGGTTGTTACATTTCTGTTACAGCTCAACACATGGCCTTCCTGAACGTGCCCAGCACACTGCTTAGGACACATGAAACTCACCACTCAAATTCAACGACACTGACACAGTGTATCCCCCGTTTAATGAGATGAGTCCACTAATCACACAGTTAGATGTTTTGCCAACATCAGATTGCCATGAACTTTCTAAATATTGCTCTCGACCCTTGTATTTATCTGGCTGTGCGTTGGTGACAAGCAGTTCACAGACCAGTGTCCATCTTTGGGCACCACTAATCTACCACATCCTCTGGCCCACAAGTTCGATAATTCCATTTTATTCTTAAAACCCCAAAACACGACCTAACTGTGGATGTCCTTTAAAAACACAATTCTAAGGGTGCCTGACTGGCTCAGTTGGTACAGTATGTGATTTTTGATCTCGGGGTGGTGAGTTCAAGCCCCACGTTGAATGTAGAGCTTACTTAAAAAACAAAAAAACACACAACAACAATTCTATATATGCCAAAATACACAAAGGAAAAAAAAATCCATTTCCTTCAATGGTTGAGGACTTGAGCTTTCTGATCCATAGGGAATTGCAACTACAGGGATATAAAGCCAGGGTTTTCTAGAGCCAAGAAAGACATCACAGGTAACCTAATTCAACCCCTTCACTGTTCAGACTGTGAGGTTACCAATGTTCACATGATATATAAAAGTGTACTAAAGCTACACTAAACGGAATTTTTTGTTTCAAAAGAATCAGAAACTGCTTTGGTAGCTTGCATGCCACAGTGATTTATAATAGCAAGGAAAGGTTAAACCGAACCTAGTGTTGTCAGGTGTTACGTGCATTTATATCTCCAAATATAACATAAAAAACACATTCCATTCAAGTTATTTTCTATCAAGTATAACGTACATTAAAAATTACAGTCCATACAATATTCAAAACAAACCTCCTCAATTACGAGAAAAATTTTTGATAAATTCACACACGTTTTCAAAAAACAGAATTAGCCTATTTTTGCTTTCTAGCAGGTCGAGGGCTCAATCCATTATAAGAAATTTTCATTGATTTTCCAAAGATGCAAGGTCTTTTCCTCTCTTCTCTCAAGAGGAAAGGTTTCTAAATCTCTTACTTCGTGCTGTTTCAAGTTCAGTTCAGAGGGAAATAATCCTGGGACATAATAATCGTTCCTTTTAATGCTCTCTGTCACTCCCTTGTACCACGATCTGAACAAGAACTCTCTTGGGAGAATTTACAACTTAGTAATCTAAAATAAACACCCGATAAAGTACAGAGTTGCCCTTCTCCAGCTGCTGAAGAGGAAGCTAATAGATCCCCAGGCACAGGAAAGAGTCTCCGAGGAGTCTCTGCTATCCTGGGCTTAGCTGATGTCTGCTAGCCTTCCCCCTTCTCTGAAATGACACATTGCTAACACTGGGCTCTTTTGCAGATGTAAAAGATGTAAAGGAGTAAGGGAGAGAGGGTTGCATAGGAAGGATTCTAACAAAGTAAGAGAACAAATGTCAAATGTATGTACCCACCTCGATCAAGAATTTCCACCCCCTCTCCTTTCATCTTGCACACCAATTTTTCTTGTAGCCTTTTTACTTCAGATTCCTTCTCCTCCAGTTGTTCTTTTAAAGATGCCAGTTCGTCCTACAAATGATAAATTCATTTCAAAACAGTAGATTATGACTAAAAGAGGCTATTCAGGGAGCATGTTAACTCTTAAATCAATAATTAGTTTTTAGGAATGAAACAAAAAATGATAGGAATCTAGATGCAGACTTCAGAAACCAGACAGTGGCAATGGGAAGCAGGAAGCAAGACAATTAATGAAGGTCAATGTATAATAATTCTGGCATAGTGTTTCAAGTTTCTTTGTGACCGAATTAAAACAAAAGCTTTTCAAGTATAATTAGGACCAGGGTAGCCCTAAGGTTTAAATCTTATGTTAAATAAAAAAAAAAAAAACTCCCCAAGTTAATCAAGGATGATAATCAAATTAGACACTTAGTGTCCTAAAAGCAAAATAAAACGCAAATTGGAAAATATGTATTAAGACTTGACTGAGATTTATTTAGTATTTCGAGATGGCACTCATGTTCCCTGGACAAGGCAGAGCTTAATTAATGGGTAAGGTAGCAGGTGATGAACAATGTTAGGCAAATCATGGGACTAAGTAATTCATCCTTATCACCAAAATAAAAGAACAGAGGCTCCTACAAGAATGGAAAAAAAGATTTAACAAACAGATTTGAAACCCCCCCCTTCTTTTTTACTACCTAGCTATTAAAGATTCCAGTCCAGTGTTCTATTTACTAATGTTTTAATTTTCAGTTTAATTTTGGTGAAGAATTAGCTTTAGCACTGAAATTTTGCTGGCTGTATTTACACAGAAAATAAAGCTATGCAGTGCTAATAAATGTACTTTTATATTTGATAAACATTTTATTTTCAGTCTCTAAATGTATGTATCATGTTAGTACTATGAGAAGATCTCCAATGAAACAAGAAAGCTGGCCCTATACTTTTTACTTATGATAGGCGTGGATCCCAAGTACAAGGAATTTTTTTTCAGTAGCACTGGCAAGAAGCTTTTTTTTTTTTAAAGGTTTTATTTATTTATTTGACAGAGATAGCAAGAGCAGGAACACAAGCAGGGGGAGTGGGAAAGGGAGAAGCAGGCCTCCCACCGAGCAGGGAGCCCGATGCGGGGCTCGATCCCAGGACCCTGGGATCATGACCTGAGCCGAAGGCAGACGCCTAACGACTGAGCCACCCAGGCGCCCCGCAAGAAGCTTCTTTAAGCAGTAATTTCAACTCACTGCCACGATATAGTATTTTTTCCCCCACAGGTGGCATTTTTGCAACTATTTTACCATATGCTTGGGTCTCAGATACTCTAAGAGGGTGAGATCTAATTTATTAATGAATACTTTTATTATTTTTCATTAATTATTTAATATGTTTCTGAAAACAGGGATCTCACTGTCCCTTTCATCAGCTTTAAATGTATTTTTAAAAAATAGATGACACACACACGATGAATGCACATGCTACTAAAAACACTATCACGGCAAAACAGCACAAGCCAGAAAGCAAACAGGCCCAGGACCCCAGTACCCAAAGTCTACTACACCTTCAGTGACTCCCATTTTTGCTCCATCCGCTGCTTTTCATACTGCATCTGACCCACCTTGATTTTCATGCTAGAAAGTTTGGCCATTAAAGACTGGTAGAGAGACAGAGGTGTGAAAGAAACCACAGATAGAAAAAGACAAGCCTAAATATCCAAGAAAATAGTATCGGTTTATAAAGGAGGTTAGGTTAACTAAGAGAAATAACAGGTTATATTTTACTAGACTAGTTAAAGCCCCGATTTTTATTCAGAATAGTGGTGTCCAAATTCAAGAAGGTCTCCAGCTTGGGGGAATATTTCATTCACTTGTAAAATACCTTCTTTATCATCTATTGAGTTGAAAACTTATATTATCGATCATAGATAAGTGAGTCATGTGTTTACAAATTTTTGCCTTTGAGAAAACTTACTTTAGTTGATTTCAGCTTTTTTTCATACTGAAGTCTTTCATTGTCCATTTCACTGACTCTTAACCTCAAATCATTGATCTCTTGCATTAGCCCCTGTCAAAGAAGAAACAATGAAATACATTAGGAAAGTGGCAACACACCTATCTATGCCAAAATAGCAGCTTGGAGATACGAAGTCAACAGCGTCTAAGTTCAAGTTGTACGAACTGGATCAGACAAATGGAAATAAACGTGTATCTCCCTGAGACCCAAAGCATCTTTCTAGTTAAAACACTAAATTCTCAATGCCTCTGGCCTACAATGATGGGATTATGGAAATAAAAGGTAATTTTTAAAAATTTAAATTAATTAACATATAATGTATTATTAGTTTCAGAGGTAGAGGTCAGTGATTCATCAGTCTTATGTAACACCCAGTGCTCATTACATCATATGCCCTCCTTAATGCCCATCACCCTATTACCCCATCCCCCCACCCACCACCCCTCCAGCAACCCTCAGTTTGTCTCCTATGATTAAGAGTTAAAAGGTGACTTTCAATTTTGATTAAGAAAGGTAGCTAATCATGTACCATCAATCATCAGCTATTCCTGGACTAAAAATCACCATATAGATTCCATCTTTTAAAATTAACTAGAAAAATTTTCTTTAGTAAAGCCATCTACTTTTAGGGCCTTTTCAGTGATATGTGGATTATTTATAAAAAACATTTTTATGATTTCTTCCTTTGTCTAACAAAAATATAGATTGTTCATCAACCCAGTCTGGGAGAATGGAATGGAATTTAAATCTTTTTTTGTTTTTTTTGAAATGTGAATCTTTTAAACCAAGGATTCTCAACTTGAGGGTGGATGACGGCCCTGTAATTTACAAATACATTGTCATAATATAATGTTATATTTGGAATAGGAAAAGGAAAATAATCTTAAGGTTTTCATAATACAAATACAGCCAGATGCTTTTCCTACTTCCACTTTAAAAAAAATAATAATTTGCTTGTAAAACTTGTCTAAGTGTTTTGAGAAATAGTAACATATTTTTGTCCAGAGCCCAGACAGTAGGAAAAGGGAATCAGAATGCCACACAATACCAACTTCAAATACTGTGGAGAGGATTTATTTTTTACTACAAGCCATCAAGACCCCACCAAAGGTTAATGTGTTTTTATTCCTCATTTTTACAAGTCCTCTATTCCTGAGCCACAACTTAACAGATGACAGAATTATACAAAAATGCCACAAAAAAGAAACAAACAACACTAGAAGAAATAAACCTTTCTTACTAAACTTCTATGCGTAATGATTCACACATAGGGAAAGGGATGCCTTTCCTAATTATATAATTACTTAACAGTAGTGTATCATAATTACTCATTAGTTATTATAATTATTTTCTTTTTTTTTCTAAAGAGCACACACATGTGCATGCACGTGGCAAGAGGCAGAAGGAGAGAATTTTCAAGCAGACTCCCCGCTGAGCATGGAGCCTTAGGCGAGGCTCCATGAGCTCCTGACCTGAGCCAAAATCGAGTCAGAGGCTTAACCGACTGGGCCAACCAGGCACCCCTATTATAATTGTTATTAACACAGCGTCTCAGTAAAGGAATATCTATTTTCCTTTGAGGTCAGGAACTGTTTGACATCATTTAATAACATTCTAGACGTGTTCAGAATTCAAGTCTAAGGAAAAAGTCAGTTTCTCCTGTTTATTTACCTTCCATTTATTAATCATCCTTGCATACTATGAATTCTTAGTGATCTTCCTTCATCTGCCTGGTCTTTTTAATATATATCTTTCCACTTTCTCATGGCTAGCAGCTTTGAATTCCTATTTGGTATTGTTTTATTTTACCACTTCTTTTAGAAATAGTTACAATTTGCAGGGGCGCCTGGGTGGCTCAGTCAGTTAAGCGACTGCCTTTGGCTCAGGTCATGATCTCAGGGTCCTGGGATCGAGCCCCGCATCGGGCTCCCTGCTCAGAGGGAAGCCTGCTTCTCCCTTTCCCACTCCCACTGCTTGTGTTCCCTCTCTCGCTGTCTTTCTCTCTGTCAAATAAATAAATAAAATAAAAATAGTATTAAAAAAAAAGAAATAGTTACAATTTGCGAAAAAGAAGTAATTGAAGAAAACAGAATTATAAATTGAAATAATTTTTCTCTTAAAGAAAAAAAAGCCCTACCCAAATATCCCTTGTGGCAACACTGTAACTATGAATGTAAATCTCCAACCTGAAAAAAGTCCTGTTTTCCCCTAATAACTCAAGCTGGAAAATCTGAAAATAGCTCCTTGATACAAAACTTTAAAAAAAATGGAATTCAAATTATTTCTAACTAATTTCTTATCAGAATTTCAGTTCTTTTTAAAAAGAAAATCCCTGTTACTGTTCCCTTTTCCTTCTCAGAGAAACTCAGGCTTTACAGAAAACTCAATTTCTGGCATCTGTACTCTTACCAGAAGGGGGCACTGTTGAATAATGCTAAGCATCTTCTATCAGCCATTCCTGGGACAGGCAAGTCTTCAAAATTCCAGGATTTCAAGGTTTTTACCCCTAATCTTTAGGAAGTGCCTATATTTCTTCTCCATTCCAATATTTTCTTAGAAATTAATCTCCAAATAATCTAAAGTTCTAAGACAAAGAATTTTGGATTCATGAAACAGCCAGGGAAACTTTTTTTTAAAAGGAGGCTCCAGACCCAACAAGGGGCTTGAACTCATGACCCTGAGATCAAGAGTTGCATGCTCTACTGACTGAGCAAGGCAGGCGCCCCCCCAAACATTTTATTTTTATTAAGGGAACAAGAATAGGAAAATGAGCATATTCAATTCAGTTTTAATTTTGAGGACTATTTTATTTATTGTCATATGTAACAAAGTTGATCAGATTATAGTTTATAATCTCTCGGTATGCATATTATTTTTTACCAATAGTATTGAATATTTATTAGAAAATTATCAAGGATTGAGTTTATTGAAAGTTTGATGACAGGATCACTTTGCTTATGATTGAAAATGCATGAGTGAAGCAAGGAAGCACCAGAAAAAAAAGTTTTATAAAAAAAAAATGCAGACAGAGGCGCCTGGGTGGCTCAGTCAGTTAAGCCTCTGACTTGCTCTTCGGCTCAGGGTCATGGGATAGAGTCCCATGACAGGGTCCATGCTCAGCGCAGAGTCTCTTGAGATTCTCTCTTCCCTTCTCCCTCTGCCCATCCTCCCACGCACGCGAGTGCACTCTTTTTCTCTCTCTCTCAAATAAATAAATAACATCTTTTTTAAAAACACAGACAAACTCAAGAGATGTAAATATTGCTCTGGAGTCTTACAAAAAAATCATAACGCATCCACTTCGATTTAGTCCCATTGTTTGGTTAACATCTTGGATCCAAATTAACCAGTTCTGCAGGTTAAGACTCCTCCTAAACTTTATGCATACAATGGAAAAGGCCAACTCTGGACCTGAATACTGTAACTTCTTTCCCTGCACCAGAGTAAGCTCCACAGCATGTTGTCCATCTGTTGACTGAATTCTATCGCAACTGTGGGGTCAGGGAACGAGAGAGAGGAAAAAGAGGAAAATATCCAAACAGATTTTTCAAGAAAGCACAAAAGGGACAATTTTAGAGAAATTGGGTAACTTTCTCAGTTCTGTTTTAAGAGCCCTAGTCTCAATCAAGTGAGAAACATGCTCATATAGGTGACTGACAAAGAGCTTTAGAAGATTAAACGTGAACTAAGTCAGGGATTTCCTTTTGCTGCTGAGGAAGTAATACATATGCCGAGACTTTCCATTAGAGTTCCGTCTTTGGCAGGAAATTTAATTTTGAAAACAGCAATGGAGTTAATCTCACTAAATCCAGTCTACGTAGGACTTGCATACAGTGGAGAACATATGTAATGTATCTCGTATCATGATGGTACAGAGTTGGCTTGGAATGAAAATAGAGGGGGAAAATACTTAAATGATTTCTTCTCCTCTCCCCTTCCTTGTACCCACTTTCTAATACAGTATGAGAACTCTCCATATGCCAACCGAGGAAACAAAAGAGAGAAAAAAGAAGAGACACCCCTAGGAGATAACAAAGTCCTGCAGCTCTTCATATTTCTTTCCAAATAAACATTTCAAATGGATAGGCTCTCTTTCCCCAACAACAAATAATAAGCAAATAAAAGACCCGGATTAACAATAAAACAGTACAAAGAACAAAGCATGGTTAACCACAGAAATGGGTACTTTTCACAAAAGTATAGTGAGCTTTATTTATTTGGCATGATTTATGTGTGGAATAGACCAAAAGTAGAAGGCCAAATGAAATAAACTCTAAAAATCTGATTTTTATGATTATATAATGAAAGCATGTTCTCTGTACATATTTTAAAACCGACTTATTATATAGCAAATAATCAGTATAACTTAAAGAGAGCTATTAGTAAAGTGATACACTTAAACCCATTATTTTCATAATGAAGAAAACCACTATAGATGGACAGAAGGACAGACAGATGAATAGAGAGAAGCTGCAAATGTCATAAAGTTGAAAGTTATTTCTAAAGACTAATGAAAGGATTAATATTTCACATCAACAGGGGCGCCTGGGTGGCTCAGTCATTAAGCGTCTGCCTTTGGCTCAGGTCATGGTCCCAGGGTCCTGGGATCAGGCCCCGTGTCGGGCTCCCTGCTCAGCGGGAAGCCTGCTTCTCCCTTTCCCACTCCTCCTGCTTGTGTTCCCTCTCTTGCTGTGCCTCTCTCTGTCAAATAAATAAATAAAATCTTAAAAAAAAAAAATTTCACATCAACAGTCTCACAATAAATATTTCCATGAGCATTTAGTGATAGTCAATGTAAAAAAAGTCAATGTAATTAAAGATTATTCTTAAAAAGAAGCACGGATGAACGAGAGCATGTAGTAATTAGCTGCCTCTCCCTCACGCCTACAAGGAATTTCAACTTGCTCTGGAAATATGTGTATGACATATACACACACACACACGCATATGTATATAAAGGGGGGGGCTGTCACTTACCTCGGTGTCTCTGAACCTATCTTCATAATCCAATCTGTCCTTCTCTACAGCTGTCAGTTTTAGCTTCAAGTTAGATATTTCAGCCATCAGATCCAACTTCTGAGTTTCTAAGGATGTCCTACTCAGAAGCTCCTGTTACAATTTAAGAGATACATTCAAAAGTTGTTTTATTATAAACAGACACATACGGATGTGTCTCACAACTGCAAAGCAGTAACTATCAAGTCAGGAATGTGGTAAAGATTAATCACTAAACAGATAAAATTTGAAAAAATTATTTGCTTCAGTTAACCTTCATTGAGAACTAAATGTACGCTTGCTTACTGGGGAGACGTACATTATATAGATACACACATATATATAAACCTGAAATGCTGCTAAGCCTGCAGAGAACACTGATGATGACATGTTTTAAGTGGCTCGATCCTCAAAACAACCTTATAAAGTAGAAACTCCTAAAGATAACTCACGAATTATCCTTGTTCAACAAATGAGGAAGGTGAGGAACAGAGAGGTTAAGAACTTGCCAAAAGTCATATAGCAAGGAAATGGCAGAGTGAGGACTCAAACTGAAACAGCCTCCCTCCAGTGCATACCCTATCCACTATATTATAGGTCCTCTCGTCCACGAGCACCGTGTGTGTGTGTGTGTATGTGTGTGTGTGTGTACATTACAAGTTTGGTTTGTTTTTTTTTTTTTCCCAGAAGTCATATATGGTACTTATCTTTTTTCTTAATCATAAAATATATGCTCGTGTTTGGGGGTTAGGAAACCATATCAAAGTTTAAAGAAGAACATTAAAATTACCTACAGTACTATCAATATTTTATTCCAGATTCTAATTACTTTCTATTGTGTGCATGTGTTTTGAGACCCTGCTACTCTAGGTTTTTGCTTAAAATATGCCAGTCTAGGTGAATCATGAACTTTATTCCTGCATCAGAGTGAACACGACATACAAATGCAGCACTTCAAACAGGTCAGCAAGAAAATTCCACCTCAGTGCAGGCTTCTGAACATACCTGCTGCAGCATTTCTTCTGTAGCATTCAGCTTTTCCCTGTGCTCTTCAAGACAAAACTCCAAATCTCGAATCTTCTCTCCTTGAGCCTCTACCTGGTCTGTTAACACACTTACCTGTATTAAGAGCAAAATATGCAATAGATTAGGAAGAATTTGGGTCCCACTACAAACTTTTATTTCTCTAAATAGAACAAAAACTGGAATGATGTCATTCCCCATTTGGTTGTAAAGAAAAGAAATGCTGTGGGTAAGACAGCAGTCCTTCACAATCCTATTTAAGTGATGCTTATGGATCTGAGGCCTCCAATTTTTAAGGTGATTAGGGCTGACTGGGGATATGTAATACCTTGTATTTATAGGTTAACATCATTTCAACCATTATATGCAAGAGAGCATGTGCACAGATCATCCTTTTTGGGGGGAATGGGATGGGAGTGGGAAGTAGTATTAGAGATTAAGAGAGGAAATGGAGTTATGTTTGAAAGAGAAGCTGTCAAGGACTATTCAAGTCTGATACTTCATGAAGAATAAAGAAAAGGACCCAGGGAATTCAAATTCCATGAGATCTTTCCTGATTACATTATCCACAAGTGTGTTCAAATCTAAGATGTAACTCAAAGATCCACAAGGAGACACTGGATTAGTCTTTTATCCTTGGTGCTTATTGAAAATGTGAGTCGGGGTGCCTGGGTGGCTCAGTCAGTTAAGCGTCTGCCTTCGGCTCAGATCACGATCCCAGGGTTCTGGGATCGAGCCCCGCATCGGGCTCCCCGCTCCGCGGAGAGCCTGCTTCTCCCTCTCCCTCTCCCCCTGCTTGTGTTCCCTCTCTCACTCTCTCTCTGTCAAATAAATAAATAAAGTCTTAAAAATAAAAAAAAGAAAACGTGAGTTTTTCCCCAATGATCACCAGTCTAGTAAATCTACTGCAATTTAGTTAGCTCAAAATACCAAAATAAAAATATTTGTCATGCATTTAAAACATTATGAAGAGGAAAACTCAAATTTAGCCATTAAACCAGACTCCATTACTCACTCATGTTCTGTCTGGCTCATGGTATCATTTTTAAAGTTCAAAAATTAAATATATTCAGATTCAGAAATATTCAGGTTTATGAATATCTATAGTATAAAATTGCAATTTGTGCTGTATATTAAAAAAATCAGATCAAATAAGATGACAGATCAGATCAGAAAATCAGCTTAGATGACACTGTGTCTGTCATCAGAGAGTCCAGGCTGCTCGCTCTAGACAGGGTAAGCATACCCTTGTGCTGCTACAGTCCCCACCACTCCCTATTGTGTACAGATGGCCTGCACTTATTTCTCTTAGTGGCTCCTAGAAGCATCTGAATATGCCATCCCAATTTAAAATGGCCTTTGTGAATATGTCATGAAGAAAGAACAGCATTTTAAAACCACTTGCCTGAAGAACGAGAGATTCTTTATCATTTTCTAAACGTGCTAGCCTTTCTTGATACACCTCTCCATTCCCGGGCAGGTGTCCATTTGTCTGAAAAGATGAAGTAGTATGAGAAGACATCCAAATGGCCAACAGACACATGAAAAAGTGCTCAACATCGCTCGGCATCAGGGAAATCCAAATCAAAACCTCAATGAGATACCAC